GTTCGGCGCGAACCGGAGCCTGTCGGCGGCGCAGCTCGGGCGCCTGTTGGAGCAGCTGGGAGCCGCCCCCGCGGAGGGCGCCCCGGAGCCCGGGCAGCTGCACTTCAACCAGGTAGGGCTCGGGCAGGCCGCCCTTCCCCGCGGGGTGTCCGGAGACGTCCATTTGCACACGAACGCTGTTTATTGGGGGAGAGGTGCGGGAGGAAGAATTTCGTTACGTTTTTCAAGTGTGAGGCGGAAGCTGATTGGTGGTCCTTGCTTTTCACTAGACCCGGCTTTCTAGTCAGGCAGGGTTCAAGGGCTGGCGGTGTTGAGGGAGCCAGAAATCGCAGATTTATGCTTGATGAGCTGAGCGGCCAGAAGCTAGTGATTATAACACTTTATAGAAAAGTTTACGAAGTAGTTGAGGGCGGGAAGCACTTTAAGAGATGCATTTTAGGTAAGAATGGTGTACTGAAGTTTTCTCAGCAGACAGAGGCTCACATGCCACCCTCGTTAATAGTTACTCGGCGCCAACGAGATATAATGTAGTTCTTTTTTTTTCTGGTGTACGTTACAGAAGGCATTTAGGCTGAAGGGCCTATTTACAGAGATAGAGAGACTAAGGGAGCCTTGAGGCCAATGTCACACATCCTGTCGGTGGCCGAACTGCGTTTAGAGCCATAGTTTTCAGTCATCTGTCAAGTCAAGGGTTTGATTTTAATATTCACTCAAAATTAAAAAAAAATCTATCTCAGTACATGTAAACAGAATTATCTAGGCATTTGGTAATTCCTAGGATTTAAGGACCGCTGTGAGTTACCTAGGAGCATTAAGATCATATCCGTCAATAAACTCCAAAAATGACGATATTATAGATTCCCTAGTTACTTCTGTAATAACTATTCTATGGTAGTTCTTTGTGAAGTAGGCAAAATGTGCTTTCAGCATCCTCCCCAGAACTCCTCCCTACTTTTAAAAACTCAGTGCTTTGATTTTTTTTTTTCTTCTGCTCTTGTGCCGGTGACAACTGATGATGAATGGCAGTATGCAGTATTTTCCCTATTGTTCAGTCACTTCTGGGCAATGTTAGTTTGTGCTAGAAAAGTTTTTGTGGCCCAGGATGCTTGGGAAATGCTGAATATTATACTCCATTGTTGGAAATTTAGCATTTCCCAATGTATCTGACCTTACATTACAGTTAGGGAACTTTAATCAGATACATTCTTTGCTAATAACATTATAGTTTGGCATTCTTTGTGTTAGAAATATCTTATCTCAATTAAAACATACAGTATTCAAGAAGTATAACTTTCTGATGCCATGGAATATGGCTCTAGAAGGGGCCATGTGGTCCTCTTAGGCATGTTCTTTAGTTAACTAACTATAGATCCAGTTCTGACTGACATTACAGTTGGTTTAATGTCTAGGAAATGATATGTTGGAAAAACTGTAATGACGCCATAATGTATTGATATTTTTGAAAATAAAAGAAAAGAAACAACTTCCTAAGTAGTTTCTGTCCAGTTGCAGTCCCTTCAACTGAGGGGAAACAGCTACGCTGACGAAAGCCTTTCTAGGCAGGGGCCCTCGAAGCTCGGAAAGAAGCTTGGGGACTTGACTTCCAGCTGCATATCTGTAGCCCACATATTGTTTGACTTAAATTATCTCCTTATCTTGCACTGTTGATGAATTATAAGGGAACAAAAGACTTCTGAGCCACACCTTGGCAGAGACACTGGAAAATACACCTAAATTATTTAGGAAAATTGGTTGTTTATTAGCAATGTGATTCCCAGTTTATGAGTAAGTAGGATACCTCAGTAGGTAAATTATATGTTTGTCTCTCATTCTTATGTTTTTATATTTAACTACCTTTATTATGGCCTCTGTGGGCATCAAACAGGGGTGGGAAGAAGTCCATAATTACTTTGGAAACAAAGGGAAGCTAAGGAAAATTTATCACTTAATCGGACTTAGCAAACGTTTGATCTTCTAAAACGTCGTGATTAAAACAACAATTGTCGGTTAAATGATGTCAAATGAAATGCTACTCCAGAAGAATCTATTAATTTGCTAGCATTTATATCTGCTCCAGCAGGAAACCATCCAGTCTGGAGTAAAGTTTAGGGCCATTAATATCTCCATATCTTAAAGAATACAACTTCAGTTTCCTCACCTACAACAAAATAGAGTAATAATATGTATGGTTTTCTAACTTTGAAAACATTTGAAAAAATAGAACTTACTCCTCTGGGCCATTTATTGAATCTCCCATGAGGTCTATTTACAAATAACATTATTCCTTTGTGTGAAGGCTGAGGTCAGCTTTTCCCAGGTGATAAGACTATGGTACCACAAAATTTAGATAATTTTGGAAGGTTTCCTAATATTTTTTCAGTGTGCCTAAGTACTAGGAAATTAACTTGTTGCTTTGAGAGAGCAAGGTGATCTGAGTTCAAACTGGAGACAGTAGAATAATTGAGTTTACTGTTTTGCTTCTTATGGTTTCTGAGGGTACAAAGCGCAGGTAGAAGAGGCAGCCTGGAGAAGCGGGAGGAGGGAGCTCTTTTAGCTAAGTGGGCCTCTGGGGCCCGAGACTGGGTGTAAGTCTGGTCTATCGCAGGGAGTTTCCAGAGTACAAAAGAAAGCCCCACTGAACGGAGAGCCTGGGTGACTAACTTAGGGGATTTAAGAAAGGGCTCAGTGCCACCCTTAGTTTGTTCATATGCTCCTTTATCATTCTCCAGGTGTTTTTTTTCTTCTCTCTTTATTTCCTCTTCAAAACACCTTATCTCCAAGTTCTTCTGTGTAGACCCATGTGTTAAACAGCTTGATAATAAGGGAGATCCTCATTCTCCAAGCTGTCACATTAAGCTGCGGGAAATGCCCCCATTCAAATAAATTGGTCTCCCGGAGAGGGTTAGTGGGGGTGCTGGAGATGTGGGTGCGGGTGTGGTACGTTGGCACAGGAGGCAACGTTTGTTTCTCACCGTCACCCAACCTGTTGTTCTTTTAATAGGTATCTTGCAGCACATCTCCTCTATCTTTTTTTTTCTTTCACATTTCTATCACCTGGTTGCCTGAACCTTGTTTTTAAGTCTCTTTCAGTTTGTTTTCAGTTTTCCTAAAGGAGTCCTTGGAGAATGCCTCTCTTCTTTCAGACCTCCCCCAGACTTCCTCCTCCTTTAGAATTGTCTTTCGGCTGGTGAAGTCTAAATCTGGGACCTGGCATTCAGGCCCTGCATCTCAGGGTTGATCCTGGGATGTCAACCTACCTGTCCAGACCTTGCGCTTGTCAAACAATACTATTCACTCGTCTCTGAATTCACCTTATACTTCTACTCAACCACTTGTTACCTCATTATGTTTCTTGCACGCTTCCTGTTTCCAGCTGGACTGTCCCACTTTTCCTGGAAGCCCCCTATCAAAATCTTAAATTTTTAAAAGCCCAGCTAAACCTTTCTGGGGCATCACCACCAGCACTGATTTGCTGATTTCTCTTTTTTTTGAATTCCTGAAACTTTTTTGTTATGCTAATGACACTTAGCTCTTCAATTCAACAAATATTTCAAGTAACGACTATACCTTAATTAGAGTGGCCAGTTTTTATTAAAACAATTAAATGCCTTCAAGATAAACTTCAAACAGTTTAATGTGGCTTAAGCCTTTTATTGATCTGGTTCCTGTATATTTCTCAAGCCTTATCCTTCGCTTCTACTTCAGTCCTAATGGACCACCTGTTGTTCCTGGTTCTCCATATGCACCTGCTTGCACTTCAGGTATCAGTTTAGACATCACCTCTTCTGAGAATCCTTTCTTAGTCTGCTCAAGGATTTAGTAGGAGCCCCTTCTATGTGATCCTAGATTAATTGGTGCCTGTGCAATCACGACATACTACATATTGCAATTATATTATAATATGTAATTTTATATGTATTACAATTTTCTGTTTATATGGCCGCACCCCCCCAACCTCCTTACATGCTTTTAAACAAATTGAAGGGAATGGTCTGATGCATCTCTCTAGGGGCTACTATAGTGCCTGGTACGTAACATGTATTTATTATATATTTTTCAAATGAGTGAGTGTGAATTGTTTAATCTGAGTAAGGTGATTTGTCCCTCACATGACTTTACAGTTTAGGTGGACGTGTAACATATGCACATGTAACTATAATGTGCAGTAGAATGATATGTCTGATTAAGGAATTTCAAACAAAAGTGGAAAAGGGTCAGATTTGTGTTTTCGAAAATTCATCTGCATGAGAGTGTGAAATGTGTCAGAGTGGGTCGAGACTGGAGCTAAGGAGGAAACTGCAGTGGTTTGTTTGAGATGTAATGATTGCTTCAATTTGGACTCGAGAGGTAGCATAAAGGCTCTGCCTTCTTGTGGAAGAGCAGGCATGACTGAAGAGTAGGCACAAAAGCCCCATGAAAGATATTTTCTGCTTCAGTCTTTTGCTTGTGGTAGTTATTTAGCTACTGTTGGATTTTTCCTTTCATTTGTTTCTGGTCCAGTGAGAGGCGGTAACTCTTGGCTTATTTCAATGGAGGGCCAGGCTAGTGGTCTCGAGCAAAGAGCAGGTGTGTGTGTGTGGTCATTACATGCATGTATGCATAGCTTGTTGTCCATTGTACTTTCTTCCTGGGATGGGGGTAGTAGTGGATTAGATGATGGAGGTTTTTGGAAGTACTGACCATGGACAGAGGAGAGAAAGAGCATCTTCTCTCTCTCTCTGTTTTTGTTTGTTTTTTTGCCTTTATGTTCTGAGAAATGGTGGGGTAAATCTCCCAGCCTCCTTGTTCAGGTGAGACACTGGCTGGAAGGGCAGGACTGAAGGGCTAGGTTGTGCTGTGGTCCCTGGTGGCTTTTCCTTCAAGACAGTAGACCTATTCTGATCTATTACATCACTCCCATTTAAGTTGACCGTGTACAGTGTGTCATTGTTTCCAAGAGGTTTTGGGAAAATGAGAGACACTCATAATTCATTTGACTATGATGTCAAGAGCTTAGTTTGCTTCCATGCCAGGGATGATTTGGATCCACATGAGAACAGACCCATCATTTTTTCTATCTTGAATTCCCAAACTTGCATCTTTAGCCATTCCAAGGAATCACTTGAGCTCTGT